GTGACAGCCGCACTGCCAAGGTGGTGAGAACAAGACGGCTGGGAAGTGGAAGACGAGAGGCGGGGGGAGGGTGAACTCTGTCTTCTCATGTGAGCATATGTGTGAGAGTTAGACGCGGAAAAAGAAGGTAATTTTGTTGTAATTCTTGCCTGATTTCACTGTGACGGGGGGGGAAGAGGATGTCTTTCATCACATTAGCTTCTGAGTTTGTTTGATTTTTCACAATTTAAGATGCCGCTAACTGGATGATGAAACACTTATCGGCCCGAGGGAGGCCACCACATTATTTGCTTGTTTAATAGCTCAGACAAAACTAATTGGATTTTAATTACACTTCTTCAAATGATGCACCTCGCCACTCCGTCATACCACATGAAGTGGGACACTATAGCTAACCAGGGCTGCCAATCCAGAGCCAGTTTTTATTTATTCAGTGACAGCTTGGCATGGTTGTGTACTGCTATTTTTATAGCTATTCTGGTGTGCAGCCCAGTCAGTGGTCTACTGGAGTTTGAGCCTCCAGAGGTGAGACTCAAACAAGCTCAGACAGAGATAAAACTGGTAAAATTGAGCGAGGGAGAGTCTACTTGTGATATTCCTGTGGTATTCCTCGGGCTGCTCGGCTCTCTGGGGCTTTGCGGAGCCTCTGAGCTGTGGGAGAGGGAAGAGCAACAGGAAGGAGTTATGACAGTTAGTCACCTCTGAGACGAGAACAGACTGAGAAGATCTGAGACCTGGTCCCAAACGGCACTTGACAGTTTAACACTATCGACTCTCTCCCTCCCGTCTCATGCATGACTTCTCTATCTTCATGCATGTGTGTCGCTGTGTTTTAGCATTTCCCAGACTTCCTGTTTCCACTTAGCGTAGGATGCTGCTGTACAGATGTTAAAAAAAACGAGGCCATGTTACCCCGATCTTCACCGTCTTGCACCAGCTCCCAGTCTGTTATTAAATCAAATTCAGAATATTACTACTTGTATTAAAGCCCAACATGGTCTTGCACCTGCTTACATCACAGGTCCACTTATGCCCCGCAGCACTGTCCGGCCCCTTAGATCTTCCATCCAAGCTCCGTTATTACACAGTCCCATCTGAAAACAGGCAGGGACATGGCCTCCAGACTGGGGGACAGTTGCAGTTGAATCTGTTAAAATGTTTGTCTAGTTTTGCTGTTAGTTTCCACCTGAATGCAGTTTTATCGTGTGTCAGTGCGTGTGCATGTATGTGCACAGAAAGAGAACGTGTGGATCTGCCCATTCGGCATGGTTTTGGTAGTTTGGAGGCCAAACACTGTGTTGTATGGAAGCACAATGCATTCACTTGAATAAAGAAATTATCCGTATTTATGTATTAATGAGATTATTTATCAGAATTGACCTTTTGCTAAGCCCCGCCCCTTTGTGATGGTCCAACAAGCTGTCAGAGTAAGCATAGAGCCCACACTGTCACTAACTGCACTCCCTGAAGAAATATGATCATATTTTTGGAGAAATAAAACAGTGATTCCAGAGAGAAGCAGACAGAGGGGTCTACAGTCTGTGTTTGAAGGATATATCCAGTATGTCAAACTGACTCAGCAGCAACAACAGGTTAAAAAGACAAAGATAGTTAGAAGCTAAAGCCGAACTATAGGCTACAGATCACAGTGTAAAAGTGAACCACCACATCACTGCTGATCGCCACACAAGACAATGAATATAAAGGGAAACTTTGCTGATATTGAACCAGCTGTGTGTCTTCACAGTGTGTGTAGATGAACGGTGTTTGGCTTCACCCCCATGCCGCTGCCAGCACCCGGACCTCCAGACAGGGATCTCCAGGGGAAGTCAAACAGTGTTCTTCTGCGCACCTCACTTTTCTGAGGTGGTAATTTTGTTCATTCAGATAAATAGGGCAATTATTTTTTTCTCAAGTGAATGCATTATGCTTCTGTACTTCCATAGTCATCTCTCTGTGTAAACTAGGCTAAATTAGCTTGTCAAATGAAAGCCTTTATCGGCATATAACCATTCTTTCAACAGATTTTAAATGACTAAATATGGTAATTTAAAGGTTTTTAAAACAGTTACATGTAACCTATAAAATGTTTAATTTCAACCGAATTTCATCCAGTTTTGTCATAGATGTCTACACATCTTTTGACCTGCAAATCACCAAATGATTTCTGGGAATGCACTTGTTGCTCTTGATAGAAATTTGTTTTGTTTGTGCTATTAGCTGACTTACAAAATTAACCCTATGGGCCATAGGCCTTTTTTGGGGTATTTTTCCTGCCTTTACTTTTAAGCCCATATCACAGTCATTATAAAGGCTACATACACATGCTATATCTTATTTCTTTCAGGACAATCTGGGCTAACCAGATTTGCCATCATCACATTTCCTTCTATGTGCCTGTATTTTATATTAATTTCTATATCAATGAAAAATAAAATCTTTGTAACTAAATTCTTACATTTTTACATGTATCTCACCATAGCAAGTTGGAAGTTGATATTTTCTGTCATATTTGAAGAGGGGAGACTCTCTGGAATCTGGCAATATAAGAACCATGATGTTGGGACATTCTGTCACTTCACAGCTGTCCAAAACATGTGGTTTGTGCCAGGCGGACATGTTTGCCAGTATTTTTTCATTATTGCAAGAAATTCCATTGTCTCATTCTCAAGTCAAAAATGTGTTTTATTTGAAAGAAACTTGCAATATTTACATCTAAGATCATAGAAAAATAGTAATAATATTATTCCTCACTGTATGAAGTGACTGATAACAAGATCTGTATCATGGATTGTAAAGAAATTCGTCAGGTTTTTATTTTGGAGACAATTGATCTGTATTTACAGCGTGATGGGATGACAGTGCAATGATGTGTGTGGTATCACTGGAAAGCTCTGGTCCTGGTTCTGCATTCGCAAGTAATCCATCCAAGAGTAATGTGTGCGCAAAGCTGTATGAAAGCTTTGTTATACATAATTTTAGTGTAACTTTAACATTTTTTTTTTTTCGCTGTGAAAACACTGGACTACTGACAAGTTTCACGTGATATACGTGGCTTCTCTATGACACACGGTTGTGGAGAAAATCCATAGAGAAGAACGGGTGTGAATTCAGACGCAGTTTGCGTCATTCGGGCCCATAGGGTTAAGGAATAATTCATCCCGAAAATCCCCATTTATATATCAAGTACTCACCTGTGTTACGTTGAATTTGTGAAGAAAACTGTATTTTTCTTGCAATCCTCCACGGTGAATGAAGAATCCAAAAACAGCAAACATTCTTGATGAATTTAAGTAAAGGGGGGCCACATTTATCAACAGCAAAACTACATCAAGAAATCTGTGTAAAAACAATCACACAACTCATGCAGTATAATCAAAGTCTCATTTATCCAGTCGTATGCTCAGTAATTCTCAAACATGCATTTATGCTGAAACCTTAGTAATTAATACACCTGCATGAGCAAGTATGTGTTTGGACTCTTCTCATGCATTCCATTAAGTTGCTCAAGCGCACTCCTCGTATGCTGAAGTGTTTAATGAAAATGCATGTGTTTAGGAAGTACTGAGCATATGTCTCAACAAATGAGACATTGATTATACTGTACGAGTTGTGTGAGAGTTTGGAAACAGATGTTTTGAACCCCTTTATTCCAATTCCAAACAACACCATTATCTTCATGAGTTCAACGTCACACAAGGGTCGTAATTGATATACAGATGCTCATTTTGTGGATGACGAACTCCTTTGAAGTAAAAGGTTTTAATTAATTCACAAAAAATGATCTTTAACTTCTTTATCAGTCAATGATTTGGCTCTTTGCGTCTGTATCCAGTCCCTCTCCATACTCCAGTAGTCCTCCTCCTCCTATACCCTACTTTATCTGAATGCTATTTGAAGGACATGGGTTCAGTGAGCTCTATAACGTCCATCTTATCTGTCAACACACAGCGAGTCGCTATGCAAATGTATGCTAACAGACACACACATGCAACGTTGGACCACCCCTTCTTGACAGAAAGAGAGCAGCAGGACTGATACCTGCAGATCGGAGACACTTGTTCCAGACTGAGGCTAAATATGGACGATCATGCTCCATAGTTGAATGTGAGCGACAACAGAGGGGGAAACTGTAACATAAATATTCTGTAGTAACTCTGCATCTGCGTCTTTATTACTGTAGGGTGCAAGTGTGTGTTTGACAGCTGCGTGTTGTACCCATCACTCCCATTTTTTAATGCTTTCTTCTTTGTATAAATTTTCCACTGACACTTTTTTAGGACATTGCAGAGAACATTTCATAAAGCCGACTTACGTGTCTTTGTCCGAGCGAAGCTCACTTAAAATTTAGTCCTTTCTTTTCCCCCCATTTGTCACTTCTCATCAAATTAATTGGTTTTGGGAGGCTGTTCCACTGTGTCGTGACTTTTAACTGTGATGGGTTTTTTTTTGTACAAGTGATTGTATGCTTTTTGAACAAGAGGACAAATTATTAAAATGCACAGTCCTCGTAGTGGTAAAGTTTCATCCAAATTTAAATGTTCCACAGCAGTAACGATGTTAAAGGTGCTGCTGAAATGAGGAGCAGCAGATGAGTTAATTTAAAAAACCTTTCGTCAAGTTTGCTTCCATTGTGGCAGAAAGTTCAACGGTGTACTCGGTTGTTGGTTCGCTGATTTATGCAAGATATTGATCCATAAAGCCCAGTCAGAACTAATGATGCGTTTTCAGAAGTGCATGTCTGACAGTCTTAAAATGAAACGGGATGTTTTTCTGTGATTTTAAAGAAACACACGGACAAGAAGGCAGCAAAGCAAGGAGAAAAAACTTACTTCAGTGTCAAGAAACTGCTTCAAACCCCTTTGACGGCAAACATCCAACCTGCTGATGCGTCTTTGAGCAAAACCAGCTCCCGAGATGCTGTTGCGTCATTCACTTTTCACCCCATGAAAGATTTTCCCTACCTGAATCCTTAAATGAGACTCTGTGTTTCCTTACAGGCTGAGGGGTCCTCCTTCCTGCAGATGGGAGCGTCTCTGGAGCAGCAGATTGTCTGCATGTTCAAGGTACAGAAAAGCATTGCAGGGTTACAGTAAGTCACAATCAAGCCTCATTTAAAGCTCATTGTTGGGATTGATATCTAGGTTGTCCCGCCAAATGATTATTGGGTCAAGCCTGGCAACTGGGAGCTCTCAGGCTGATTAACACCATGTAGGGACAACAATCAGCGGGGAATCCTTGATCTGAAGTTCTGGCCTGATTTTCACAAACCAATACAATCTGTATTTATGACAGACTGTACAAACTCACATGAGATCAGGGGACTTATTGCCACTGATGTTTTGTGAGTCAGTGGGGTAATCTCAGTTCAGTCTGTGACACAATAACTTTCATAGTATGTCAACATCTGATTGGAGCATTTCCACAACCGAGAAACATCCGGTGCTGCACTACGGCCTGTGAATTTGTGATGAAGTGTTGTTTTTTAATCAGTTAGGATTTTAAAAGCCTTCTGGTTCGTTCTTGCCAACAGTTAAATGAGAACTTTTTTATCACTGTCATGTCTGTATGATAAATATAGGTGGAGCCGGTTAGCTTAGCCTATCTTAGCACAAAGACTGGAAACAGAAGTAAACAGTGAGCCTGGCTCTGTCCACACATGAGTGAGCACTTCTCTGTTGTTAAGAGTCAGACAAGCGTGTTTGTTAGTTTTTGAGAAAAATGGCCCCTTACAGAGTACATATAACATGCTTTCAATGGCGAAAATCTCACAAAACACATGATTAGTTTTTTTAAATGAAGCATAATCAATTATGTATCAAATCTGTCGAATCCTATCATCATTGCTCACAGGATGTTGTGCAAAACAGCTGCTTTGACAGACTTGCAGGTGCAGTTAAGGTTTGCAAACTTGAATAACTGTCTCAATAAAGTTGATTAAAACAAAACAAAAAAACGTGCGGCTCAAAGCAGTGACTCAGCATTTTTTGCGCATATGTGAACACCCCTCTGAAGAGAACCGTACTCAGACTACCTCAGGAGGTGATCTGAGTTTGGTTCGCTTCAAGTCCGTGGTGCGGTTCACTTAACCTGTGCACTGTGTGTTCTATTGCATAGGTTCACTTTGCTCTTTGCCGTTGTATTTAGCCCTCTAGCTCACGTTATTGAACTGGGACACTTGAAAAAACAGACGAAACCACATTGACCTGTAACGCTTGCAGGGACTCGGGACAATGAGTAGTTTGGTCCACAGAAGATACTGCATGTCTCCAGGTGTGGAATGTAGAATACATCAGACAGCAACAGTCTACAGCACACAGAAGTTCATCTGAAAGTGAGGGGCTTCATAACTTCACTGCAGTGCCACGTCAAAGTAAAAAAATAAACTACCTCAATATCTTGGTATATAATGACGAAAACTCTGTTTGTGTGTCTGTTCCACGTTTTTCTCCTCACTGACTTGGTCATTCCATGTGAAATTTGGTACAGTGGTAGAGGGTCATGGGAGGATGCCAATGAAACAATATTACATCAATTGGCCAAAGGGGGGCGCTATAGCAACCGATTGAAATTGCAAACTTTGAATGGGCATATCTCATGCCCCGTATGTCGTAGAGACATGAAACTTTGCACAGAGATGCCTCTCCTCATGAGGAACACGTTTGCCTCAAGAACCCATAACTTCCGCTTATATAGATTTTCCGCCATTTTGAATTTTTTTGAAAAACACTTCAAATCGATCTCTTGCTAGGAAGTTTGAGCGATCTGCATGAAACTGGGTGAACATAATCTAGGGACCAATATCTAAAGTTCCCTCTTGGCAATAGTTGGAAAACTTACTAAAACTGAGCTTCTATAAGGCAATGAATATTGTGGAGGGCGTGGCTCATCACATAAAGGTGTATAACATCTCAAGGGTTTCACCCATCACCACGCAACTTTGTAGGCATATGACCACACATAATCTGAGGGGACCCCTCCATTATTGACCCCATCAAACAAAATGGGGGCGCTAGAGAGCTAATTTCTTATCTAGGCCTAACCGCCATATGGATTTTTACTAAACTTGGTAGATATGTAGAACAGGACGCCTCAAGGTGACTGGAGAAATTGAACTCTAATTGGCAACTGGGTGGCGCTATAACAACAGAAAAATGCTTAAAAATGGCTAAAATGCGACCGATCGCTGTGGCTCCTCCTGTGGACCAATGTTGTTGTTTTTTCTAATTTTTGGTATGACTAAGTCATGGTATGGTATGCTGTACATAATCACGGAAACTGTCAGTGTGTCATTCTGTCAGTCAGTCATTCTGTCTGTCCCACGTTTTTCTACTCACTGACGTGGTCAATCTATGTGAAACTGCACATAGGCATTGAGGACTGGCATAGGTAGAAGGTGACAAAGCTACCAATGGGTATGGACTGGTATTATATACAGGCTATAGTGTGAACAGAAAGAGGACTGAGGCCCCATCAGGGCTGAAGTTGAACACATAAAGAACGGAGTCCCTTTTCTGTTGGTCCACTTTCTGGTACACTTTAAGAGGACTGAGTTTATGCTAAGCTAAACTTAGCTAACGACCTACTGACTCAAGCTAACGTACAGACATGACAGTGCTGATGTTCTCATCATCAGTCACTCACAATTTGGTCAATCATTTGCAGTGATTCTTAATCCCACATTTTATTTTAGCTATTATGATTTCACTTAATTTCTTTCCGTCCCTGTTTACAGCTCATGGAGGAGTATGACTGGGGCGAGTTTGCAGTGATCACCAGCATGCTGCCGGGCTACGACACCTTTGTGGATATAGTTCAGTCCTACACAGATACCTCCTATTTCCTGTGGAATCTACAGGATATCCTGTCTCTGGAAATGTCTGTTGGGGCCAATGATGTGAAAACCAAACGCATGCTGCAGCAGGTAGGATGAGAGTTGAGAATCCAGACTGATGTGTGGCGGTGTATTTATCTGCAGAGTCTCTGCCCTCTGCCTGTATTTCAGTTTTAGGGTGCTAAACAATATATTAAACTTTACTGTCAATACTTTTTATATGTAGTTAAGACTTTCTTATATGTATACCTTTACAGAGCAGTGGTTCTCAAATGGTGTGCTGTGATGCCAAACCAGGTGTGAAATGGGATTCTGTGATAACCACACATTATTATTGCAGTATTAAAGTGGGCCTATACAAAAGTTATAAATACATTTTTAATTGACTATCAGTATATTGTGTGCACCCATTTCCTAATAAAGAGGCAAAATATACCTAAAAAATGTAATTTAATTCATTTCAATTTAAAAAAACCTTCACAGGGAACCAATTTGTCGCCGTTCAAGTGTGGGAATTATAAATGTGACACATCAAAAGCCCTGATTGGCAGCCAGTGTGAGGGATGATAACAATTAAAAGGAGAAAGCTGTGAATGCGACAATGGATCGCTTTATTGTATGGAGCAAATTACAACGAAGCAGCAGCAAAGACGACCGACCATGGAAAACAAAGAGAAAAGTAGACAGTATCAGAAAAGCTACCTGTCTTTTTTTCTTATTTTATTGTCTTATGTCGTGATAAGAGTGATAACACACGTTATAGAAGCTGTTGTGGCACAAATTCAACAAGGTGCTGGAAACATTCCTCAGAGATTTTGGTCAATATTGACATGATGACATCACACAGTTGCTGCAGATTTGTCGGCTGCACATCCATGATGCGAATCTCCCGTTCCACCACACCCCAAAGGTGCTCTATTGGACTGAGATCTGGTGACTGTGGAGGCCATTGGAGTACAGTGAACTCATTGTCATGTTCAAGAAACCAGTTTGAGATGATGTGAGCTTTGTGACATGGTGCGTTATCCTGCTGGAAGTAGCCATCAGAAGATGGGTACACTGTGGTCATAAAGGGATGGACACAGTCAGCAACAATACTCAGGTAGACTGTGGTGTTTAAACTATGCTCAGTTGGTACTAAGAAAATCTCCCCCACACCATTACACCACCAGCAGCAGCCTGAACAATTGATACAAGGCAGGATGGATCCATGCTTTCATGTTGTTTACACCAAATTCTGACCCTACCATCTGAATGTGGCAGCAGAAATCCAGACTCATCAGACCAGGCAACGTTTTTCCAATCTTCTACTGTCCAGTTTTGGTGAGCCTGTGTGAACTGTAGCCTCAGTTTCCTGTTGTTAGCCGACAGGAGTGGCACCTGGTGTGGTCTTCTGCTGCTGTAGCCCATCTGCTTCAAGGTTGGACGTGTTGTTGGTTCAGAGATGGTCTTCTGCAGACCTTGGTTGTAACCAGTGGTTATTTGAGTTACTGTTGCCTTTCTATCATCTTGAACCAGTCTGGCCATTCTCCTCTGACCTCTGGCATCAACAAGGCATTTTGGCTCACTGGATATTTTCTCTTTTTGGGACCATCCTCTGTAAACCCTAGAGATGGTTGTGCTGAAAATCCCAGTAAATACTCAGACCAGCCGTCTGGCACCAACAACCATGCCACGTTCAAAGTCACTTAAATCACCTTTCTTCCCCATTCTGATGCTTAGTTTGAACTTCAGCAGGTTGTCTTCAGCATGTCTACATGAGTTGCTGACAAGTGATTGGCTGATTAGCTATTTGCGTTAAAGAGCAGTTGAACTGGTGTACCTAATAAAGTGGCCAGTGAGTGTATATTCCATTTCTGTCAGTTGGTCCCTCTAAATCCTACTCACTTGTCTTTTAAGTAAAAACTGATGTCTGTGTAAGAACTTTGTGCAGTGTGTAATGAAATGTTTTAATTTTTTCTTGCTTTCATTTAGTGAATCTAAAATCTCTACTTTATTTCTAACCAGGCTGAAGTTTGAGGAACAGCTGGTGCTACAGGCTCTTGATGACCTACAGCAGTGCTGCATGTTGAGGCTGTTTTCTCTCTAACAGACTTCTTTCCTATCTGCAGGTGGACTCCCGGGTCCTGCTGGCGTATTGCTCCTACGAGGAGGCGCAGTACCTGTTTAGTCAGGCAGCTGAGGTGGGTCTGCTGGGGCCAGGCTACATCTGGATCCTCCCCAGTCAGGCCGTGGGCAACCCCGACAGCCCTCCACCTGTCAGCTTCCCCGTCGGTGTTATTGGTGTGATCACGGAGCAGTGGAGGAAGAGCTTGCGGCAGAGGGTGAGGGAGGGCGTCGCCATCGTAGCTAAAGGGGCCGAGAGCTTCAAGAAGCAGTACGGGTTTATTCCTGAGGGACATGGCGACTGCACCAAACTGGCTAAACACTCAGACAACAACACTCTGTTCAGGTGAGTCACACTTCTGTCAGTAAACACAACTTGAATCAGTTCCAGATAAAAAGTTCCTGATGCATGGACAGAAGAACTTCAGCTTCAGATACACAGCGTGAAGTGAAAGCATGTTGCGCCTCTTTTTCACATGTTCTGAATTTCAAAGCGACCTGGATTCATTATTCACAGCCCCAGTCTGTCAAAGATGTATACCTTAACAGACAGACAGCGATGTCACTCCGCAGGAACACTCTGCCCTCCACCAATCAGCTCCTTCTCTCACCCCCTAATGAGCTACTTCCAGACTCCCGCGCTAGATTAAACCCTCCAGGGGAGCTTTAGGTTTAAGTAGGAGGTTATCATTGTGTGTGTTTATCTGTAAATGAATATGCAAATACTCGAGTGATGTAGAATCAAAGCCCTTGATTGCACGCTACATACTTTGCATGACTTCCTGTGGGTTGCAGGCACATGCTGAATGTGACGTGGGAAAGGAGAGATCTGTCATTCAACAGCCAAGGCTTCCTCTCCAACCCTGCCTTGGTCATCATCGCTCTGGACCGAGAGAGACTCTGGGACAAGGTACGGGACAACATCACTAAACATGCTGGCACTGAGGCGCAGGAACAATTGATGTCAGCCCCGTTACGTGCCCATAAAGGAACTTTTATTTGTAGGGTTCAGGTTAGTTTTAGGGCAACAGGTTAAAGAGAAACCACCCTACGTTTTTGGGATATAGTCTTGGTTTTTCACTCTCCAGCTTTATATGTATTGATGTTGTTCTTGTATATAAAAGGTAAGATATTGAGGTCATTACATCAGATGTCTGTCTCATTTAAAGTCCATAAATTCATTTAGAGATCACTAAAAAGACGCTCATTAAAACTTTAGAACTTGCCTGAGTATACTGTATCAGAGTAATCCAGCGACAGTTGTTTGTGCATTGTAAACAGGAACTGCTCATAATTAATTTGGCATACATTTAAAGGAATACTACACCCCCTAAATGACCATTTGTGTATCAGTTACTTAGCCTGTGTTATGTTTAATTCACGTAGAAAACTTTGTTTTTCTCACATACCTCTGGTGAACGAAGAATCCAAAAATATGGGAAGACTTCAATTTGATGAACTGAAGTCATAGGGGTCCAATGTTTAACACAGCAAAACTATATGAAAATATCCCTTTACAAACTCTTACAACTCATGCAGTTGATGTCTTGTCTTGCTTTTGTTTTTTACGTGGACCCCAGGAAGGCTAGTCGTTACTGCGGTAACAATAACTGGAGATCCTGAATAAAGAAATAAATAAAGTAACCCCTGCAGTATAATCTACAGTAAGTCTCATTTTTCCAGTCTTATGCTCAGTACTTCACAAACAGACAGCCCTTTCGGGTTCGACTCCAGCCTGTGGCCCTTTGCTGCATGTCACCCCCCCCCCCCCAACGCTTAACTGTCCTATCGATTAAAGGCATGACTTCAATTCATCAAGATTTTTCTCAGTTTTTGGATTTGGAGGCATACAAGAAAAAACATTTACTTAAAGTATTCAGCGTAAGGCAGGGTAAGGAATTGATAAACAAATGACGGCGGCATGGTGTTGCAGTGGTTAGCATTGACCATTTGGGGGATGAAGTATTCCTTTAAATGTTCGCTGAATTAGCCATTAGCAGTTCCGTTCCTGTGTACAGTGATGTACAAACACCTGTCACTGGATTACTCTGATACTGAAATAATCTTAAAAACGTGATGATTCTCAAGTGAGTTCTGCAGCTTTAATGAGCATCTGTTTTTTCAGACTCATGGACTTTAATTGTGAGAGACATCAGAGATAATGATAATCTTAAAATGTAAGTCACACTGAATCTAAAAATATGTGTGTATCACTGAGTTATGACTCAGACAAGGAGAATTTTTTATGCGAATCATGACTTTTGGCGCTGAGGGTCTTTATGTGTCTTAATTGCCTCTGTAAGCTGCGTGTCACACCCACTGCTGCAGCTCCAACTGTGCCGAACGTGTCGGCCAACGGGCCAAATCAGCAGGGCCGGCTACAAAACAATATCTTCCTGTTGTTTCTAGAACACCAGCATGCACCTTTGCCTCACTTCTCTGGCTCTGCATCCCACGGTTAGAAAACCCTCTGACCTGCATTTATATTCTGTCTGGATGCAACAAGTTCACGCCTGTTGCATTGGAGACGTCAAGATGCATTTTTAGAAAAGGGGGAAACTAGACGGCTGGTTGAGGGAAAGTGGATAAAAATCTAATCCTAAACAATTGATCACGAAATAACTCCTGGAATACTCTGAACAGCGCTGACAGATGGTATTTGAAGGTGCAAGTGTAGGCGTGTTTTCAGATCAATAATGCTGTGCGTCTGTTTGTTTCCTGCTGAAGCCATTTCCTTCTCTCAACTCTGGTTTCAGCGTCACCGTGCCTTGCAATTTTCTTGAGTATTTTCTCTCCCTTTTACACACACACACACACACACACACACACACACACACTTTTCAAAGCCTGCGGGTGTATTGAAAAAGTGCGTCTAAACAGAGAGACCCGAACGTAATCTCACAGCTACAGTTGAACTCATTTATTTCTGGCCTGGAAAAGACCAACCTACTTTATCAATGTCACCTCCTGGCTGGTGTGTATGTATGAGTGTGTGTATGAGTGTGTGTATGAACATAGACATGTAATTGTGCTGAAGTGGGGTCTTGGTTTGTATATGTGTGTGTAGATCTTAATGCCTCACTTGAGCAGGCACCACTTCATCTGTCTGTCCTCATGTTCAGGTGCGTTCAGCACGACAAGACATGGTGCGTGTGTCTGAACTCTGTGAGTCCCTTTCACTCTGTCCTCGGTACAACCTGATCTCTTGCTTCTTGTTCTTCCCCTCCTCTTCTTGTCACGCAGCTCATCCGTAATGACGACGGGTTCTGGTGTACTTGCTCATTTCAAGTCTTCCACTGTGACACCCTGACAGTTTAACATGATGTTATTCATTATCATTGTTTGAAGGATGCTGCTGGGTGACATTCTGGGCAGGGAACACCCCTTTTCTCTCCTCTCTTTACTCCTTTTCTGTTCTTCTCATCACCACTTTTCCACCTGAACGGTTCCGTACCGTCCCCATTTTTGGTCCCCCCTCTGTTGGGGTACCTAGCACACAGATCTGGTACTAAAAGGTGGAGCTGTGAACACTGCAGTCTGATTGGTCAGTAGAGGACGGTCACTCTGCTCAGGGCTGAGTTGTGGCTGGTTTTGAGGCTCATGTAACCACTGTTCATACTGTGGAGAGTTTTATTAGTAAACTGTAACTATAAAATGAAAGGATGTTTTGCTGCCTCTCACAGCAGCTGGAGTCTGAGAAAAAATAACTTAATTCACTGGGCCGACTGCCGGCGACTTTTAAGGTGAAACGTTTACTTGTAATGTTACTGAATGAGTTTCCTGCCAGGATAGTGGCATGAAAAGGTTGTCCTTGACTGAGACACAGCTTCTTTCCCTGCAATGATTGTGCAGGCAGAACCAGGTATTTTAAGCCAAAACATGATCTTTTCTGAACCATAAGCAAATGGTTGTAGTGCCTAAACTAACCAGACATTAACCAGAGCGTTGGAATAATATGCAAATGTAACACATCTGTGTACAAAGCGACTCACAATTGCTGTGTGCAAACCAGTTTGGAAACAGATATCATCCAAAATTGTGAATGCATCCCTTTTAAACACGTAACTAAAAGCAGGTTTTGTGCTAGGGTTAAAGTGCATAGAGATGTTGTTTTTTGTAAGCAAAGGTTGTTGAGATGTAGTCTGAAAAGATGGGGTTTTCAGCTCTGGGGGGGAGACGGGCTGTGACTCTGCTGTTCTGACTTCAGCGGGGAGCTCATTCCACCACTGAAAAGAGCCTTGACTGAGATGTGCGAACACATGCTCCTCTGATTAATGGGTCACTTCACTGCCCTGTAGGCCAACACCAGAGTTTTGAGCTGGATGTGAGCAGCAACAGGGAGCCAGTGTAGTGGACAGAGAAGAAGAGTGGTTCATGCTGTTCGCTGCAGAGGTCTGACGTGACCATGACTGGATGACTCTGTCAGGAGCGATGAGAAAAATTTATTTAAAAAACATGAATTTTAGTAAATCAAGCGAAGGTCTATAAATGTTATATAAAATTTGTGTGACGTCCGTTAAAAGAAGAGAAGGAGCTGTATACTTCATGCTGCGTTATTTTAAAATGGGCTGCCCTGGGAAGAAGTTTAAAAAATATACGTTTAATAATGCATTTAATTTGATTTCTAACATGAAGTATTGGACACATTCCAAGACCCTCATACTGTGTTTAAACCCAGCGTCCAATAACCAATAAGAGTTTGGCACCTTCCCAACTGTGTGAGAATGACAGAGCTTCAGCATAAGATGCCCCATGAGTGGATGAGACATCCCATAAAAGACAGATTGAAATGACTGATCATCACAACTGGCATCTCTGCGATTCTGTCATTCACAGATGGTGCGGAGAAACAAATCACCGTCTCGCACATCACACTGTACCTTCATGCGGATTTGTAAATCACCCATGTATGACGAAGGAAGAGCGCTAGTATGAGCGAGAAGGAGAACAAATCAAGGGCTGGTATGAAAAAGAGGTCTCATTAAAGCTGTGAGCGAGCGAGTTTCACATGCAGTGAGTCGGCGCTGGCTGAGCTCAGTACGGCTCATTAGGTTGGGTTGATATGACAAACAGTCCTGGCTCTCACACAGAGGGTTGCACTGAGTTTAGCACCGACATCGATGGGATTATTCATTGTCTGATGTGACATTATACAGCAATTCTGGTCCAAAGTGGCTCCCAGTGACAGTGAAAAACTCAGTCTGTTGCTTTTTTTTTTTTTTTTCCCCAATCGTTAACTCACTACATTATCTCTTTGTCTGTCAGCGTATCTGTTTGTCAGCTCTAGTCAGTTCAGCGAGCTTTATTAGCACCAATACTCTTTCCATTATTAAAGAAGCAGCAAATATTTTAAAGGGATTATTCTGAACTTTTGAAGTGGGGCTTTATGAGATGCTTACCCATAGTTGGTGTATCATATACAGTAGTATATCGTCGGCATGCCCCCTGTTTGGAGAGGCAGACGGGACTAGCACCCTAGAAGCTCAGAAATGCATTGCTCTGAATGGGGCTTAGCAGCAAAATGTGTAAGTGGATGCTATACTTAAACATTTTCACTGCAATACCTTGCCGTGAGACAGCCCTTTCTTTTGTGAGTACATCTTCTCAACCTTATAACTTCCATATTCCTGTGCAAAAGCCTAACTGTGCCATGTACTGTATCACACTGCAGATCAGCTGTTCAGGTCAGAAAGTTGCAATCTGGGTAAAATGAAACTTCACTTTTCAAAAGATTTCAGAGTCATGAGCATCACATAGGTTTACATTACCAAAGGTTTATGACAAAATCACTTGACACCGACTCGTTGAGAGAGGAGAGGGAGAGACGCTGTGCTGCTGCCAGAGGAGCCACTGAATGAGTTCACTCTGAGTGGTAAGTCACTAAAAGAGTCTGAGAAGTCCGGGGCTGTTCATAAAACATTCAGGATGTTGAAGCTGCTCCTCTTTCTGGAACCACCGCGGAGTCTATAATACTTTCGCTTTCAGAGTCCGTGTACTTTGTGGCCATTCGTTTTTCGTTTCGAAATAACAAATTGAAACACGGAAAACCAACCATTTCCCGTTTTTTGTTTTGAAATGACCAAACGAAAAAGGAAAAAAACGATCCGTCTTCCGTTTTTTATTTGATAATAAAGAAAAGAAAAACGGAAAACGAATCGTTATCCATTATCCGTTATCTGATTTAATTTGGGAATTTAAAAAAACCCTGTGGGGAAACTCCTTTCTCTATTTTTTGTTCGTTTCTTCTCTGTGACCAGTAAGTTGCATTCATATGGTCTATGAAATGTACATACAGACCATGTACATTTCCTATAACTACTAGAATATTGCTTTATCTGACATGTTATGCTAATAAATAACTTTTCTAACTAATCTAGGTCACTCTACATGGACAGCAACTAACGGCATACCACATTACACGTTACATGTCCGCAAAAAATGATATGCAATACGTGAATTAATTAAAAGTTTTATTACTATGGACCAAACGTTCCTTTTCGTCCGCCAGTTTTCTGTGAAAGTGACGTCAGTTTCCATCAAATCGGCAACTCCTGTTCCAAAATTATCTCCAAGTTGTTTTTCCGACATGAGTGGGCGTTCATGCGTATTTTCCCAGCCGGAAAGTCATTTTCCCGATTATTCCGACACCACATGAATGCAACTTACTGGTCACAGAGAAGAAACGAACAAAAAATAGAGAAAGGAGTTTCCCACAGGTTTTATTTAAATTCCCAAATTAAATCGGATAACGGATAATGGATAACGATTCGTTTTCCCTTTTTCTTTTCTTTATTATCAAATAAAAAACAGGAGACAGATCGTTTTTTTCCTTTTTCGTTTGGTCATTTCAAAACAAAAAATGGATAATGGTTGGTTTTCTGTGTTTCAATTTATTATTTCGCAACGAATGGCCGTGAAGTACAAAGACCTTTAAGCCATGCTTGTTGTTGCCGTGGGTAACAGTATGACGTCATTGTCAACAAGTCTAAATATTGGGAGTAAAAATTATACCGGTACTATTGTGAACGAGATGATGTGGCACACCCCTGGTGCTGAAAGTCTGACCCAAACAGCTGACCTGTGGCATGGTGCTGTACCCGCCACAGCTGCGATTTTGCAAAGCAATACAGACGTGACATTGGGGGGGGGGGGGGGGGGGGGGGGGGGGGGGGGGGGGGGGGGGGGGGGGGGGGCGGGGGGGGGGTTGACAGCAAGGTAAAGCAATGAAAATATTCTCAGTATAGCAGCCACTTAGACTGATATTGGTTTTTACAGGTAGGCCTTTTAAATGGCTAAAGTACATTTTTCTGCTCAACCCAAACCACAGCAGTACATTGCTGAGCTTCTGTGGTGCTTCCCTAAACTGGGAGCAGGCCAGCTGCCACCTACTGCATGTAATACATTGACTATGGATAAGTATCTCATATAAGTATCTCAACTATTTATTTACACACAAAAAGACATAAAGAGACAGATAATAAAAACCACTGATCATTTGAACGGTTCCCATTTATGAATAGTGACATTTCAATTTGTTTACTCAGTTGAAAATAGAAAATTAATAATTGAATAATCAGTCAAGAAAATGAACACAGATTGAAGGCAACACATGCTGGGATGTATTATTTATGTGATGCAGTTGGTTTGCTCTTTGTTTTATATTCTGCTTTTTTTCCCCCCAAAATGTCTTACTCAAACACTTTAAAGTCTCCTCGTTCATACATTAATGAACTCTTCTTTCATCTTCTAATCCTCTTTCTCCAGGTCAGCACATGCAAATTTCCCTTTTTAAAATTAAAAAAGAGCATTCATCCTGTGAAGCAGGGAGACACAAGACAGGTGAAGAGAGAAGGGGCTGATCGAAGCTGAGATTCAAACTCATGTGCATGCTAACAATGAGTTTTCTGTCTCTCACCCTGCCTCTCCAGGTGGGTACGTACGCTCGAGGGATCATTCAGGTTCGCTACCCCGTCTGGCCTCGATACGGCAGCTTCCTGGAGCAGGTTTCCGATGACCGTCACCTGACCGTGGCCACGCTGGAGGAGCATCCCTTCGTCATGGTGGAGAACGTGGACCCGGGCACAGGCACATGTGTCCGCAACACGGTTCCCTGCAGGCGCCAGTCCAATCTCACAGACGGGTACATGCGTCCACGCTAACACATACACAAACATGTAGATGTGAGCATACGTAGGACTGGCACATTAACACAGACATGCAGACACAGATAGGGCTTGGTGTTGAACCTCTCCTCCCAATACTTTTGGGGGTATGGAAAACTTTCAAGGACCCAAAACTGGTTTTGAATGTTGGTCAGGTTTGTTATCTCGTTTAATTATTGGCTAATTAACCAATTTAAACTCGAGGTCCACTTGAGCAAATTAGTTGCCAAATAAATACTGGCTTTGTACATTTCTGCAAATCATGGATATGTTACAGTATGTTTCATATGGAGCAGATATGTTGAATCTTTACATTTCGGTTTTCAAGTTTATGTTGTGACAACTCTGTGGTTAACGTGTGGTTAGGTTTAGGCACAAAACCACTTAGGTAGGGTTAGGAGAACATCATGTTTTGGCTTAAAATACTCAGTTTGGTTGCTACAAACACGGCTGGAAATGTCCCAGCCTCTCGTTGAAAAATACTTGATTTTGTTGTTTGTCGACCTCGGACAGTGGTCTGCGGCTGTCTTGCCTAGTTGTCACGCCATTCACCATCCCCTTCTTCTGCTAATGAGAAACTCAGCTCACGTACACATAACCTGAACTCTGTCTCTCTTAGAAATGCTGATATGATCATACTGTTCCCATGCACTGTTTGTACGTTCGTCTCTGAAAAGCAATGCACAAATTGTATATATCCCATGTTTGTATACAACCCACGTAATCAGTCAAACAAACACAGGACTTTCCTTCAGGAGACTGGTGTTTGTGTCTCGTGTGACTTTGAGTTATTTTAAAGTATGGCTTCACCATGTTTCTTTTCCTAAACCTAACCTATGTAACTTTACTTTAAGTAGGTTATGTCATTCTTGGGGCACTAATTTGTTAGATGTCATACAACATGATGTTGCTGCATGCTTAAATTTTTCTTATGCCACAAATGTTTTGAGTTTTGAACTCATCAGACAAAGATGATATCCCAAAACTGGTCTTGGCTGTGGGAAAAGAGGGCAACATGGCCTCTTGAGTTTTGTAAAGTGAGTTTTAGGTGAATGTGTTTGTTGCAGCAGCATTACGCTCGATTTCCAGTGTACTGTGTGTCATGTTGTGCTCTGATTGATTGGTTTGTAGACATGCATCACAGCGGTAGTTACATTGTCAGAGTTTTATGTGGATGTGTCTCAAAGTACAGTCTCAAATGACCAAAGATTTCACCATGTTTTTCTCACAATTCTGAACTTTTGGCTTGACTGTTGACTAAAAAATTGATTTTACTGGTTTATCCTTGACTTTGGAAACAGCAGATGAAAAAACAACAACAAAGCTCAAGGTCCATTTAGTCCAAAAGCTCCAAAACAGGTGCGTAATTGGACCTTGACTTCAGATTGTTTTGCTCACTGTTGATTTTAAGGTAAAGAATGAACTGTCAAGCTCCATTGTTTATTCGTTGTTTAGAAAGCTTCTGCTTTGCCTACAATTAAAAATAACCTTTAGACACTTACACAACCCCTGCCTGTCTGTGGCAACAAGAACCAGTTTTTAATGGACGTACAGTGGCGTTGCATGATTGCCCCATCTTGTTACATTGTGGTCGTTGAACAGCTGCCAGATGCAGCCCTTTCTCTCGATACTAGGTTGAATAATGCAGAAGATAGACTTCAAGTTGTTCACTTTGGAGGGATTCCAGAGTTTGAGCAAAGACCCACAAGTTTGGAAACAGGCCTATACTTGTTGAAAAGTGTGGAGTCTCCTTCTTTTTACATGGCAAGAATAAAGACAGACTTTCATGTAAGTAGGGCTGCCTCCAACTAGAATTTTCCTAGTCAACCAACAGTCATCATTTAGGGCCATTAGTCGACTAGTCGCCCGCATGTTTATGATATAAATTTAATAATTCAATTATATATTTTGGTGGTTTGAGTTGAAGGTGTGAGAAAGAATAGTATCAGTAACATTGTTAACACTGTGCTACATTACAGAGAAATACAAAACCGTACTAATGAACCTTCATTAATATAGGCCTATATTTTATCTACAAGTGCACGTCACACCCTGAGCGAGCCGCCTGTTAATGACGCTGTGGGCTAATGGGCATGTAGCTACTTCCATGTTTCAGATGATACGTCATGTTTGTAGTCGACCAATGAAGATGTGTTTACATATCGCCTTGGGTTCGTCCTTCACCTTCTCAAAATGATCCCACACTTTGGATTTCCTGCCCGACATGTTGTTAACTAGCCTGTGGAATAACCGCAGGTACCAGCCCTGGAAATTAGGGGCCGCACACATGCTGCGTCTTAACAACTAACATTTGATCGACTGATGTTTGGTTGACTATTAGGGGGCAGCCTTATATGTAAGAGAAATATATATATTAGAATTCTGAAAGTAAAGTAACATTTCAGTATGGGTACCAGAACTTAGGGAACATGTCAACACAGACATTTAAACATTTCAAATGACACCCAGTCCTACACGCAGACATCTGCACCCTCCCTTTCTGTTGCTCTGCCCCAGTTTAGTTCTGAGTAGACACTGTGAACCTCCACACTTCATTAAACACAGAGTAATTGTGTGTGCTGAGTGTCTAAGCACTTCAAAAACACACTTCTGGTGTCAAACACAGATTGCAGCACGGCAGAAAACAGCCATTAAACAGCTATTACCTCTGACTACCTGCAACTGGTGCTCGTCAGGAATACGCAATGTCTTCATTATGTTCAAACCGCCACATACAATACAGGTACAAGTGTGTCATAAATTTAATTGCACTCTGTTGTTAAAGTAGTGTCAACCACTTTAGCTTTATTGTTTCCACAATGACAACAGGAGCTGTCTCACAAATCACATAATATATTTTACAACAGCTATCGGTAAACGTGATTCTCATTTCAAATCTGTGACAGTCTTTCTGAAATCCGGCTAAAATCAATAGTGAATGTTCTTTGAGATGAAAAATGGGAGCTCAGAGTGTGACTAAGACACTCAAAGCCAAGCTTGTCTCTCTTTTTTATATGCCGTATCAAACTGTTTCAGATTTGACAAGGAAACTAAAACATCCACTTACTGGCTTTTTCTGGAAATTTCAACTCAGTTGTCATAAAGATCTCTGGCCTTTTGGGGTCTGATGTCTCAGTCTCCTTGTTTCAGATTGATGGGTGTTATAAAGGGACAATTCACCCCAAAATCAAACATACATATTTTTCTTCTTACCTTTGGAGCACAAAGCACCAAAAAAATACATTCTAAAACACAACAGCAATGTCTCTTTCCAACGATAATGAACAGATTACTCAAGATAATCCACAGACGTTGTTGTGAGCCATTTCCTAAAGGAACTACTTTCTCTTTCTCAAACTACACCCGCTAACTGCCATCACCACGCAGAAGCAAGAGTGCATCTACTGCTAGCTCTCCTAGCATTACTGAGATAGCTAACGTTAGCTCAGTTGAGGGGACGCCATTGATGTTTACCTTTTGTGCTGTAAGGAGCACAAGTCTCTTGTCCATGAGTAGATGTACTCCTCCTTCAGCACGGTGATACTGTTGGCCAACATGTTCTAACTCCAAACTAATTAAATACGACAGCTTGAGCAATGGCCATACGCTTCAAAGTATAATGCTCTAGGTGCTCCTCTGGCGTCGATTTTGGACACTCAGAATGTATGATGGCTTGTGCCATACATAGTGTCTTTTTAAAATCAATGTCTGTGTTCACAGGAAGGATTTTAGGTTTAGGCACCAAAACTACTTGGTTAGGTTTAGACAAAAGATAATTAACGACGTTTGTTATGTAGCTTAAGTAAGTTAACGAGCATGTCACGTGATGTGGCGTTACCTACGTGACAAAACTCAACGTCTAACACGGAACACAAACACCAGTCTCCTGAGTGAAAGTCCAGTGTTTGTTTGACCCATTCACTACCCCTACCTCCCACCCTACTTGGATTTCTTTGCTTTTTATACTACGTCATTGACTCATATGGGTTTACAATGAATGCCCGATACGTCTCATAAAACCGCTACAGGCTCCCTTGTGTGTCAGAATCAGACACTGACAGCCATTGCTCAAGCTGCTATATTTGACCTGTTGGCCGGCTGTTTCCTGCGCAGAAGCCTATCGTCTACCCATGGACGATAGGCTTCTGCTCATCACATGCGCTAGATGTAAATAATAATGGCGTCCTCCTCAGCTGAGCTGTAATGTCAGCTATAGCTCAGTGATGCTTAGTGAGCTGGCAGTAGATGCACTCTTCCTTTTGCCCAGTGATTTGGTTGGCGGGTGTCATTCAGCAGAAAGAAAATAGTTACTGCAGAAAATTGCTCGCAACAATGTTTGTGGATGATCTTAAGTCACCAGGTTATGTAATTTTTTGGGCGCTTTGAGCACCACAAGCCCAGTGCCGTCAAGTTCCATTATATTGGAGAGAAGGCAGACATCTCTACAGCTGATATCGCCAACACTCGGCAACTCGCATCAAAACAATCTAGACTGATAAATAGCACTACAGGTAAGAAGAAAAATATGTATTTTGGGCATGAACCTAGGGTGTGCATGTGATATTAGCTCCTGACTTTATTTATTCAGATGGGTTTCTCTCTTTATTGAATTTCATAACTGATTCTTTTTCATCGATAACTTTTACCTGGACTCCTGAGAAGTGCACACCCAATAACACCTCGGGATCTCTCTGTCTGCAGTCTCTCATTTGCATTTAAAAGTAATTTATTTGCAAATGACATTTGAGACAAAGTGTGAGGCATAAAACCTGCTGTTCGTCAATAATGTTGGAATAATCAGTCAGAGGTAGCACGCGTTTCTGATCACAGACATGTCACTGTCATTCCTCCTTCAATCTGCCAGGATAGTGTTAATGAATAATTTCAAGTGGTTTTCTTTGTTTGTCATCATCAGGAAATGAAATGCTAATTCTTGATTACAAAGTCTTTTTATGGGTTTCTTTAGAATGTGTGTGCA